CAAACTAGATCTAATCCCAGTTCATACATTCTAGTTACTCGTTAGATCTCTTTAGTCTCTTTTCGTCTAAGAGTCCCGATACCTTTTGTTTCATGATATTCACTTTTCAAAGTCCAAGCCAGTTTTCTTTTCCAGCTTTCCAAAGTCTGGGTCTGTGTGATTGTTTTCCTGTGGCCCTGTATTTCCTGAGAACGGGGAGTGAAGGCTGGAAGCTTGACTCTCTTCCCGTGACATGCTTTCAGCTCCATGGGTATGGAGTGCTTCCTGTTATGCCCACCAGGAGGAAGCCGTGTTGGGTTGTCCCACTACGAGAGAAGCCAGGCTTGAGCGCCACGAGAGGGGTGACAGCCAAATTTCTCCATCAGAAATATCCATGTTCCATTTGTGACTAGAGTTTGTGCGGTGACAGGTGGGCATCGTGCCAATGCCCTGTCCCCCAAACACCAGTCACCCAATGGTTCTGGCACCCATTTATGATCCTTGCCTTAATAATTACTATTATCACCTTGAGGGTTGCAAAATAGTGTTTTTCTCATCATAGGGCTCTTTCTCCACGTGCAAGCTCTCTCTCCACTCAGTGTGTTATAAATCATTATCCTTTTGAGAATCAGCTGGAGTGTAGGTGTCTTTGCCCAAATTTTTTAAATACTGAAAACAAAATTAAATGTACCATTTTTGACGCATCAATATGTTCCTGGTTAGAGACCAATTTGAATGGGCTTGTGCTGCCCAAAGAAAGAAAAACTTATAACAATGGCAATGGATTTAAACACCTCAAATGTGCTAATACCCATGAACTTATAATGACACTAACAAACTAAAGTTGGCTGATGGTGGCACACTGACTTGTTATTTTAACAGTTGGTAAATAAAGGGGAAACAGATCAAACACTTATCTTGTCTTTACTATACAAATAGTCCCAGGTGTGTATATCTTTGATGAGAGGAAGTTTTCTTCGTAGACGTTTTCTAGCTAACGAATGAAGGAGGACAGCGAGAATGAAAATATTCCCATTTTGCACGCTGTAATGGACAAATGGATGCGGGCAATGTGTCTACATCACAAAACGCACCTTAGAATGAAACGCAAGGGCCCTCTGTGTCCGAAAGGGCCTTCGCGTATGACTTCCACCCTCCCTCTTTACGTGGGGCCACCTCCCCTTGCTCATCTTGCCAAACCATGCCACAACCGCAGTGGCCTGCTGTGTGCATGGAGAGCCCGTGCGTTTTCTTCTGTCTGATTGACACATTCCATCCCCCAAGACCCCAGGTCTTCCTCAGATCCCCTCCCTGAGGGTCTTGGCATCTAACTCAGGTCAGAGTGTTTGAGTCCCTCATCTTTGGTATCAGTGGTGACGCGTCCAAGCCCATTGGGTTCTGTGTTTCTGTGTCAAACTTGGGAGGTGTGTCAAGAATTTCTGCGCACAGACCACAGCTCTTAGTACCCCACACCCTTGTTCTGTATCACAGTCAGGAGCACTGTTGATGCCTGGGGGTGATGGGGTTGGGGGGTGCTTTTTGTGGTACCAGGAGGCAGATCCCAACAATCTAGGAACCCCACCATCTCCAATATCTCTCTCCTCCCTGACCAATTCAGAAAGTTCCCCAAGTGTTTCCTTCCCTGCATTGGGCTATTTCAACTTTTCCTTTCCACACCACTCCTGGTTGCTGGATATAATCACCAGCTTCATATGGCAGGCATCAGAAGGGGTGTGTGTGTGTGTGTGTGTGTGTCTGTCTGTCTGTCTGTCTAAGACAGACAGAGAGAATGTGGCCAGTCACTGATGTGACAGAGTTTTCCCTTTTTTGGGAATCACAATGAGCCCAGCAATCTAATGAGATCCTGGAACAGGAGGGTCTTTGGAACCCAAAAATGCATTCAGTCATGCACTCACTTACTCATTCATCTATTCACTCAACTCTTTTATCGCCTAGTGTTTATCAGACACATAAAATGAGTTGAACAGATCCTGCCCACTGAGAATTTGCAGGTTAGTGGAGGAGAGAGACTTGCAAAATGAATTCAAAGCTGTGTGGTAGGTGCTAAATATAGTCAGGAAAACACGGTGTTTGCACATCACAGGAAGTTAGTAACTGCATAAAGAGGTCAGGGAAATCTTGCCCAAGGAGTGGGATCTGAGATAATTGTGGATCCCTGAGTTGGTGCAGCCAGCTGGAGGACACCGCAAAGGGACAGGAAGTTCTGCCGGCAAGTAAAGGGTTTGGGCAAAGGTTTGGAGGCAACCAAGAGCATCAGGTGCCGGATCAATTGCAGACGGCTTAACAGGGCAGTAACAGACAATGAGCAGGGCGCACGAGAAACGGGACTTGGGACAGAATCTGGGCCAGCTCCAAAGACTGTGTCACGATAAGGAGTCTGAATTTTACCCCTTCAACCTGCACTGATCTGTCACAAGCCATAGGCAGCTGTTGATCACTTGGAATGTGGCCAGTCCAAATTGAGATGAGCCACAAGTGTAAAATACACACCAGATTTTGAAGATTTAGTATGAAAAAAGACTTTAAACCATATCATAACTAATTTTTACATTGATTGCATGTTGAAATAATATTTGGGATGTATTGGGTTAAATAAAATGTTTTATTAAAAATCTTTTCACCGGTTTCTTTTTACCATTTAAAAAAAAACGTAGCCACCAAAAAATTGGAAATTACAGATGTGGCTTGCATATGTGCCTTTGAGGGTGGGAGACAACCAAAGGTTAGAGAAGAGGAGTGCAGGTGAGGCTGGATCTGGGTGTAATGAGGATGAGGAGTGTAGGGTACAGGCTGCACAGAGGGATGGGCAGTTGGCCCATCAATAAGGGTCAAGGTGAGAAATGACTCAGACTAACAGAAAGGTTATGACAAGGGAAAGGCCAGCCTGGTGACTGACGAGGAAATAACACCACCACTGCTTTGTTGAGCCCAGGTAAGCACTTTATATGAATTAATCAGAGCTATTATTAGCCTCTTTACACACAACATTGGAAATGCTGCCTAGGATTCAAATGTCCCTTCCAGTGTTGACCAAAGCTAAGACTCGCACTCTGGCTACCCGAGGCCCAAGTCCAGGGTCTGACCCTCCAGGAATCTGCGGGGGCAGGGGCGTCAGGATGAAGGAGCCCAACACGACTCCCTGCTCTCTGGGTTTCTTGTCACGGCACTGGGTCTCAGAATCACGAGGGATGAAATCAGGAGAAGGGCAGGTTGCAAGCAGAATTCCGAGTTCTCTGGGGACCACCTAGTTGGCCTTTAGAAACACGGGCCTGGAGGCGCCTCCCCAGGGGCAGAGGCCTGATGCAGGCAGAACTCAGTGCATTTGAGGAAGCGGAAGCTTGGAGGGTACCCGGAGCACAGCATGAGCTGAGACAATTGTTTTACAAAAGAGACTCAGGCCACATGTGGAAGGGCCGATATTGACAACCTGTCCACCCCTCTCAGGTGGGAGAACCCTCGGGGTCGTTTTAGCCTAGATAAATGGACGTTCTCAGCCGAGTTTGGGATCACGGGGGAGAAGGTTTGCCTGACACCTCTCTGAGTGTGAAGCGTGTCCATGTGTGTGGACACTTGCTGAACAGGGTCCCTCTCTGCAGGGCACATCCTGACCTACGACCCAGTGGCTCAGGGTGCTGTGCTGTAGGCCAGGGTTGCAGGAACCCACCCGTTGCCTCTTTACCCAACAAGCCCGTCGGTGAGCACGTGCCCCTCCTGCCTCCAGGTCTCTCCGGGTCCAGAGGTTCAGTATCCCTGGAGTCATCAGGCAGGAGGAGCTGAGGGTGCCCTTGATTACTCTGCCAAGTGTGGCTTGGTTGAAACCTGGAGGGAGGAGCTAGGGTGTTTCTCTGGAGCAGGGGTCAGCAAACCACGGCCTGTGCCATATCTGACCCAGCCCCTTCTGTTTCTGTGAATAAAGCTGAATAGGAACACAGTCATGCCCATCTGTTTACGTATTGTCTGTGGCTGCTTTCACGCTGTAAAACAGAACTGAGCACAGTCACGCGCCCCACAATGATGACTTGTCAACAATGGACCAAATATATGACCATGGTCCCATAAGATTAGTACCATATAGCCTAGGCGTGTAGCAGGCTACACCATCTAGGTTTGTGTCAGTACACTTATGATGTTCACACAACGACAAAATGGCCTAACGATGCATTTCTCAGAATGTATTCTTGTTGTTAAGCGACACCTGACTGTAGCGGCAACAAAAATCATACGGCTCAGAAAGCCAAAATTAGTTACTATCTAGCCCTTTACAGAAAATATTTGCTGGCCCCTGCCACTCTCCTGCACAGAAGAGTAAATGCATTCCTCTCACCTAAACCAGTGGTTCTCCAATTGGGGTGACTTTGCCCCCCTGGGGGCATTTGTGAATGCCTGGAGACATTTTTGTTGTCATAACTCAGTGGGAGGGTGCAGGTACTGGCGTTTGGTGGGTAGAGGCCAAGGACACTGCCCAGCATCTTATGGTGCACGGGACAGCCCACCACAAAGAACTGTCGGGCCCCAAGTGTTGCCAGTGCCAAGGGGGAGAGCCTGCTCTCGACCTCGGCACCCGCTCTCCTCTCCAGAGGCCCAAGAAAGGCGTGCTCTAAACTTGTTTACCCTCTAACTCCTGAGGATAATCAGTGACAACAGAGGGTCCTGTCCTCGGACAGGGCGCACCCCCAAGGTGCTTATATCAGTCCCCTGCCCCCCATGACCCACAAGAGCAGGGGCTCCTGCCAAGCAGACCGTGACCAGCCAGTCTCACGGGAGCTTCACCCTAGGCTGGTTCTTGGGTGCGTCCCCCTGATTCTGACCTTCCGCAGAGCATCTGGAGCCTTCTCAGTACAATTCAGCACACCAGTCGCACCAAATTCAGCAAAACAACTTCTTGAGACACAAGCAGTTTTAATCCCCCAATCCAGCCCCCAACGGGGCCTAACTGAACAAAGAGCATCTCTTCTGTGTGCAGCCTAAGGCCCACCTTCCTCCTCGCCCACCCCCACCTCTCCGTGGGGATGTGTGCCCCTTGTCTTTAGTTCAAGGTAAGCATGTCCTGGGGTGCCTGGGGCCCTGAAGCAGCAGGCTCCTTGTCTTCCCCCCTCTCCCTGTCCATCTCCTTCTCCCTGCCCAAGCTCTGGGCCCCCACAGCGCAGAAATACACAGCCTCATCCTCAGGCTGCAGCTCAGAGATGCTCAAATACCCTGTGTTCTTGGCCAAGTCTTTGGAACCGGAGAAGCGAAGGGGGATCTTGGGGCCCTGGCTCTTGTCTGAGTGGGAGAAATATCTCAGCAAGAATCTGGGAGGGTGGCCAGGCCTCTGCTGGTACCAGTAGATGCTGTAAACGCCAACATCATGGTCGCTGCTCAAGGTGCAGGCCAGGCGGACTGTGGTTCCGAGGGACGAGGACACCGACGGCGGCTGATTCAGCACCGGCTGAGGGTCACAACCTGGGGACACAGAAGCATGTGAACACCCGGGCAGGGCAGGGCAGGGGAAGGGGCCAGGGGCTGCGAGCTCTGGGGTGTTCTCACCTGTGCAGTGGGCCAGGAGCACCAGTACGACAGGAGCCCAGGACATGGTGCGGACGTGCAGAGCTCTGCCTCCCGCGCTGCCGTGGCTCCTGGGGCCCTCGAGGGGCTGGGCCAGCATCCTCCTCCGCCCTCCCAGGGGTGGGGCCATTGCACGCCCCGTTCCGGCCACCATCATCCCAAACTTTCATGGGTTTGCAGCGTCGGTTAGGGGAACGGCTCCGCGGGGCCTTTGCGGCTCTTGCCTTGGCCCCGCGGAAGCGTTTTGGGAGGAAGCACCTGCTGGAAGCTCGCGGACCAGTGCCCAGGGGGGCAGCCTGCAAGCTTGGGTCCCTGAGGGGGAGTGACCTCAACGTCCCCCTGAGGAAGCTGAGCCCTACAGAAATAAGGTTCTTGTCCAGACTTACATGCCTGATGAACTGGGAAGAAAGGACACAGGGTGGTGTCCCAGGGTGGTGAAAACACCTGCTCTGTGCAGCAGAAAATGTTGGGGCCCTGGGGTGAGGGGCACTCTGCCCCTTCCACACTGCCAGCACTCCCGCCCTCCAAACCCAGCCCCTCTCCCTCCTAGAACAATGTAGGAGCGACTCACGGCTTCCGAAAAAGAAGCACCAGGAGGCACTTGGGGGCCCCCACGTGGAGCCAGGGCAGGTGACGGCGAGGTAGAGCAGGCATCCCCCGACATCGGGGTCCTGCAGAGGCCTCGTCCCAGCCCTCTCGACCACCCCTATTCACAATGGTCTCCCCCAGGACCCCGTGTGGTGGAGCACACCACAGTCCTCAATGCACTCCTTGGCCAGAGCCTGCGCCTGCGCCCACCCCGCCTAGGTTTGAACCCAACACCAAGCACTTTGGGAGGCCTGGGGCCCACTCTCTGCTCGGTGCTGCCCACGAAGCTGTGTGGGATGTGCTGCTGAAGGCTGTCAGGATGCTCAGGTGAAGACTCGTGTACTAGTCGGGGTTCTCCAGAGTGACAGAACCAATAGGACATATATACACACACAGGCAGAGATTTGTTATGAGGAGTTGGCTCACACGACTATGGAGACTGAGAAGTCCCACCATCTGCTGTCTGCAAGTCGTCGACCCAGGAAAGCCAGTGGTGTGATTCAGCCTGAGTCCAAAAACCTGAGAACCAGGGGAGCGGATGGTGTAAACCCCAGTCTAAGGGCAGGAGAAGAGCCAGGTCCCACTCAGCAGGCAGACAGGAAGCAAAAAGGGGCGAATCCCTCCTTCCTCCGCCTTTTAGTCCTGCTCAGGCCCTCGATGAACTGGATGATGCCCACCCACATCGGGGAGGGCCAGCATCTTTACTGAGTCCACTGGTTCAAATGCTAATCTTGTCCAGAAACGCTCTCACAGAGACATCCAGAAATAATGTTTAATCTGTGCACCCTGTGGTCCATCAAGTTGACACATAAAACTAACCATCACACTTTGTCATCCCTTCCCTCCTCATCACATTCTAGAACTTTCTCAGCAAAGCACAGCCACAGAGGGAAGTGCAGGGAGGGAAGTGGGCCCTCAGCCGTCAGGGGGCTCTAAGGCAAGGCTTCCTTCTGGGTGAAGACAAAAAAAAAAAAAAAAGAAGAAGAGTCGCTTTAGGGGGATGGGTCATCTGAGCTGCTGTTCTACTCACGAGGCATGAGTGGAACCAACTACTGAGATGAAAACACATCTTTAGTCCTAGACAGGCTGCAGGGTGATCCACACCTGCAAAAATTTCCAGGGCAAAAGGTGGAAAAGCACATGGCTGTCATCAGTCTTCCTGTGGGGCTGCCAGCTGGCTTCTTCTGATGTCTGTGCTAAAAGTCCTTTGGGTCACACTGATATTGAGGACCCAAAGCGCCTCCAGCCCGAGTGAAAGAATCCTATTCCAGGGCAGGAAGGGAGGAGGGGCTGCCCACTGGCCGCATGCCTACCCACACCCCACAGTCACGGACAGGACGTCTTTGATCCGGAAGCAAAGACCCCCAGGTGATGCTGCGATCATCACCACCATGGGCTGGACCCCATGCCGGGCTCCTTGATGGTGGCTGACCCTTCTCCTGAGCTGCAGCAGTGACCAGCGTGGAGCTGTCCTCAGTCCCATAAACCAGGTGCTGTGCAGGGAGCACAGGTGTTGTATAATAACCTGGCTGGTCTTCGTCCCCCGTTCCTGGGAGGGAGCCTCTAAATCCTTGGAATTTCCCGAGTAATAGCAGTGTTTTTGCTATTCATGGGGGCCCCTGGACCACACCTGAGTTTATGCTAACAAGATGACTCAGGATGGGGCCTGGCCATGGAAAGACCAGCCATGTGATTAGAGGACTGGCACTTGGAGCATGTGACATCAGCCCCACTTCCAGGGAGGAGAAGGGGACTGGACATTGAGTTCAATCATGTAACCAGTGGATCAATCAATCATGCCTATGTAATGAACCCCCAGTGGAAACTCTGGACACCGAGGCTCAGGGGAGCCTCCCAGGCTGGTGAACACATCCATGTGCCAGGAGGGCGATGTGTTCTGAGGACACAGAAGCTTCCCATGTGGGACCCTCCCAGACCTCCCCTCATGCGTTTCTCCATTTGACTGCTCCTGGTTTGTATCCTTTATAATAAAACTGTAATCATAAGTACGGAGCTTTCCTGAGTTCCGAGTGATTCTAGCAAATTATCAAGCCTAAGTGAGTTTTGGGAACCCCAAATTTGTGGCCATTTGGTCAGAAGTACAGGTGGCCTGGGAAACTCTGAGCTTGCAGCTGGCATCTGCAATGAGGGGTGTTTTGTGGGAGCTGTGCCCTTAACTTTGAATAAAATCTGACCTAACTCTGGATAGTCAGGGTCAGAATTGCATTGCAACAGGGCACACTGTGACTCAGCATCATTCCCCTCCCCGCTCTCCAGCTCACTAGGCAGGCACATTTTGCTCCTGTTATGGACTGAATTGTGTCCCCTCAATTTCATATGTTGAAGCCTTAACCCCCAGTGTGATAGTATTTGGAGACCGGGCCTTTAAGGAAGTAATTAAGGTCAAATGAGGTCACAAATGTGGGTCTTAATCTGATAGGACTGGTGTCCTTACATGAAGAGAAAGAGACACCAGAGCTTTCAATTTCCTTCTCTGTCTGTCTGTCTCTCTCTCTGTCTCTCCACATGCACATCTATAAGAACACAGCCATCTATAAGCCAGGAAGAGAGGTCTCGTCGGAAACCAACCCTGATGGCACCTTGATCTTGAACTTCTATCCTCTAGAACTGTGAGAAAATTAATTTCTGTTGTTTAAACCACCCAGTCTGTGGTATTTTGTTATGGAAGTCTGAACAGGCTAACACAGGCCCAAAGCTCACTCGCTTTTAGAACCCCAGTCCCATATACCTCCCAAGCCACTTAGGAGGCAACAATAAGGACTTGGAACCAGAAGAAGCCCACGCACAGAAACCAAGACGTTGAGTGAAACCAGGTATTCTCTGCACAAGGATGAGTGAGCCAAAAATCTCAGGGGAAATCATCGTTCCCCCATCTATTCAATAAATATCCACCCAACTCCTGCTCTGCCAGGCACCACGGAGGCCATGGCAAATGAAAGAGCCAGGTCCTTGCCCCTACAGGGCCTACACTCCAGTGGAAAGACAGGCCAGCAGGCCTGCTGGACGGGCACACATAAAGGGAGGATGATCTGAAGTGACATAGAGAGGAGACAGCCATCTACAATCCAAGGAGAGAGGCCTAGAATAGATCCTTCTCTCACAGCCCTCAGAAGGAACTAACCCTGCCCACACCTTGATCTTGGACTTCCAGCCTCCAGACCTGTGAGACAATACATTAAGCCCCTAGTTAAGCCCCTAGTCTGTGGTACTTTGTTACTGCAACGCTAGTAAACTAATACAGAGACAGTTCCAAGATGGCCCCACAGTATCTCTTGTGATCTTCCCACCAAAAGCTGGAGTCTGCATTTCCTCCCCTTGGATCTGCACAGGCCTGTGACTACAGCTGAAGTGATTCCATGTGGACCAGGTGGCACTGAGCAGCTGGACGTGCACCAGGACTCCTAGTCTCACGAACATGTGATGGAGTAACCATGCCTTTGGCTCAGAAGAGCCCCTGCTAGGACTCAAGCTGCCCCACGTCCAGTCTCTGACAAGAAGCAGACCTCGCCCATCTTAGCCACCTGGGCCAACTTGGGGAGCCCTGCTCATCTTCCTACTCCTCTCCAGCCAACAGCCCCACCTGCCCAGCTGGGGGGTGGGGAGGGTCTCTGCAGACACAGGGCCTGGGTCCCCTTGACCACCTTTTATCCAGACATGGCTGCAATCACATCTGCAGCTTGTCACTCCTCCTTCCCCAGCACAGGCTGGTGGGCAATGGGGGCCTAGTGAATGCTAATGCCTGGGAGGAGGAAGGAAGCTTTGTTCACTCATTCACTCATTCCTTTATCCACTAACTCCACGTGTTGTGCATGTGTTTGAGAAAGAGAAATGGCACCTCCCTGATCCCTCCTGGAGCACTCATTCCTGGGAATCAGGGAGGAGAGGGTCCCACTTGTCAGCACTGGCACTACTGCAGACCCATGAGCCAGCCCCACCATCAAAGCTTTTGATCCTTGTGAGTCTCAGAGAGGATAAGTGATTCTATTTGCACTTGCAGGTAAGTACACACAGTTTTACTAGGACCGTAAGTAAGCCTAGACCCACTCCTCAACAACAGAGACACCTGGTCCCAACTTTGTTTTGTAAAATTAAGCTCGCTGTACCAAGATCCTTGCACCTTGCAAAGATTGGCTCCCGACAGCCCCCACTTGTGCTGGGAAATACCTGAGCCCTTCCAAACCCTGCTGGAGATGATCTTGGCCCCTTGGAACATCTGATTTAGATGGAGATCACGAACTCTGAATCTGCCTTCTCCTGGCACTGGACAGCTGCCCCCACCTCCGTGCCCTCAGCCTCACTCTCAGCCCCTCAGCATCTGGACTCACGGACCGTCTGCAGGGCATTGCAGTTTGATGGAGTTGAAGAATGTGGTATATTCCGTCCTTCTCTCCAACCTATATCCAAAGGTTCTGGGTTCTGACTGCCTTTACTTGACAACTCTT